TTAAAATTTATGGTAACAAAGAACTTTTAAAACTGCACATAAAACTAGTTATAGCCAATATGCAACAGCTGAGGAGGTACTACAATAATTAGTGATTTAATTATAATTTTATTGACAATATTTTATTTTTTTTGAATAGTGTATAAAATTAGAAATATTAAATATTTAAAAATTAAATTAAATTTTTAGAACCGCAAATATTTAAAAGTTAAAAAAAAATTTAGAACCATATACAAGATTAGAAAACGTAAAATATTTAAAAATTGACAGAATTAATCATTTGTCCTACCATGATGGATCATGGTTAGGGTGCACGTAGCCAAGGGTAATCGGGCGTCAGACTCGACCATGGTCTCGAAGAAACTTGATTTGGCCTCGGCCGGATCAAAAATGACTCATTGTTTGGTGAGAGTGCGAAAGAGCTCCATCGAGAGATTATGTCTCAGCTCACACTTGCATATTGTTTAGGATTATAAAAAAATGAGTTTATTTAGGAATCCGAATGAATCTTGCATTGGCACAACTATACCATGCCTATCATGGACCAAATGAGAAATTAGTCGAGTAAACTAGAAAGTGCCTCGACTAATCATCATTAAATAATAAAATAGAGCTATGTTGAAGTTGTTACTCGATAAGAAGTAAATTCTACTCGAAGGTAACTTGGTTGTTAGTTCCCGTAACTCGGAAACTAGCCTATCGTAAAGATAAGTGAGAATTGACTCAAGTAAATTTAAATGTTACTCGAGGGAACCTCATTATATGACCAAGTAAAGTTAAGGTGGAAGTCTTACTCGAGAGGAATCGTCTTTCACTTGATGGTTCTGTTGTTTGGTCGGATTCGGCAGTCCGCTAGGGGTTGTTCGTGAACCTGACAAGAAATGGTTCGAGTAAATGTAAATGTTGCTCGACTATTCTTTAGTCAACCCGACATAAAGCCTACATGTGAAATCTGGTACGAGAAGAGTCGATGAGGATTTAGGACTTAGGATGCATACAGCCCAGGGCTACAAGAAAGATATGAGAAGGTTGTGTTGTCCACAATACAAGTTGGATCATGAGTCGTCTCCATTTAATGGATACTTTAATATGTGTGTATTTATGCAGAGACGGTCACTGTATGGTCATAGATGTTGACATGGATAATATATTGGGATATTCATGCTTACTTGGGGTCGACCATACGGGGCAAACTCTTGTTTGAAATGCTTTGGTGATTTTTTTAGAACGTAGATAATATGACTAGGATACTATGGAGTAGAATTGTTGATTATGAACCTTAGGAGATCTAGAATAGTAAACCATGCAAATTGGTAGGATAATAGGTTCACAATGCCACCCGTTTAAGCATATTTTATAGGGGCATGTGTATGAGCATATGTTAGTCGCATTGTTTGTGTTTGTCCTGAAAAAGTGATACGAAAACCTGGCAGCAGAGAGACACTACCGCGAGGACTCAAGAGAGTCAAGAGTGTAGCGTTTGGCCGATAGGCTATAACGAGTTGAGAGTTGAGGTAAGCGCCAAGTGTACGCTTGCGGGCCTGCCTTTAGTTACTGAGATTGAGTCCGAGGCTATGTGGTTATCGTAACGGTAAACTGCAAAGATTCGTTATAATAATTAATACAAAATCTTACTACTTCTTTGACCTTAATATCTCTTTATACAAAATTGGTAGCTTAGATACACTTATAGCTAAAATAAAACCTAGAAC